ACACACACCTAACAATGTTGCCATGCTGCATTTCTTTCAGAAGTGAAATCTCTCTAATGGCAGTGCTGGGGACTCCCTCGTCTTCCTGCTCCAGGCGGATCTTCTTCAAAGCTATAGTCTCATTGGTGATTCGATCCCGAGCCTTGTATACCACTCCATAAGTCCCCTCCCCAATCTTCTCCACTTTCTCGTACTGGCCACGTTACAAACATCAAATTACAATTAACTTCCATCCAAACAAGAACAAGAACAAAAAAAAAAAAAAAGTCATCGAGCAAAATGCTTGACGAAGTACTACCTGCTCCATTCAATCCAGTTCAGCTATCTACCCCTGCAACCAAAGCAAAGAGAAACGAGAAGCAATCAGATCTCGATCAAAACCGCAATCTGAAGTATACCGAAAGAGAAACGCCCAAATCAATCGTAAGAAACAGTTCAAGATTAACAGCGAGGCAAATGCTGGACGCCAATACCATCTGCATATCATTGGGACCCGAAAATCCACAGAACAAACGAGGAAACGAGAGATATATGGCGAATCTCGATCATCGGAACGAAAGCAGAGCAGTTGCAGGCCGATTTTTTCCAGGAAAACACACACACGTAAACCGCAGCAAAACGGAGAAAATACAAGTGGAGTTGGACGGATGGCGCAGTTACCGGGCGAGGGACTCTCCGTGGATCGTTTACCCCAGCGGACAAGTGCAGGGGGATGAGAAGAATCGGAGTCCGATGGCGGAGGGCGCGGTTGCTGTTGGTGGAAGATGCAAGCGGAGCAAATTCCCAGTGAAGTAAAAGTGAGAAGAGATTTCTGCTTGACTTGGGGAGAAATAAGAAGGAAAAAATGAATGAGAGCCTCACCAAATAATTAATACTGCCGTGACCGTGAGGGTTAGTTTTTACTTTTCTCAAATTGTGATTTTTTTTTAAATAACAGGCAATTGTCCCTCGAACTAGAAAAATAGAGAAATTGAGCAATCATGTGTTGGAAAATAATACGATATTTTGATTTTTTTTATACCGTATATTTTTTTTGTCATTGGTTGGATTAAATTCAAGTTAAAATCAACAATAATTTCATCTTGATATTATGTTTCAAAATATTGATAAAATCACGATTTATAATATGAAGGATTAACAATTAAAAAATTTAATAGCTTTTTAAAGTTAAAAATTCAAGCTTTTGAGAATGAGAATTCATTAACAAGCTACACATATGCATATGAAGTATAAAGCAATTACATCGATCTAATACAACCTCGCATTGTTTAAAGGGTAAAAACTAAAAAGAGAAAGGTAAAGAGTGTGTATGCTGTAGCTAAAAAGTCACCGGGGTGGGTAAGTTTTGCTTTGTAGAGTATGGCATGGGGGGAGTAGGACTAGGAGTGGATAGAATTAGGAATGACAATGGGCAGGTTTGGGGAGGGTATCTCGATATCCATACTCGTCCCATGGCAGGTCGGGTCTAGGTCGGGTATTTTATCACGGGGCGCGGGTCGGGGCAGGTCGACTCAATGGGTATGTAATTTATGTGAAAAACATTAGAAATATTCATTCTTTTCATTGAAAGAACAAGAAAGAAACCATAATATGATAAAATGTAATTAAATTATTGAAGAAATTGAGGTTTTCAGTTATTTACAACTTTATTATAGCTAAAGTATAATGTAATAAGAGGAAAATCTTAAGTGATTTGACTAAGATTATATATAATTTAGGCAAGAACGGGTCGAGAATGGAGCGAGGCAGGACAGGTCGGGTCGATGAGATATACCCTGCCCGCGGGTTTGATCCGCCTCAAAAAAGGTCAAACAGTTCGGGTAAATCCAAAATTGCCATTGCAGATAGAATGCTGAAAAAACAGTCAAAAAGCAAATGGGGCAAACTTTATTAGAGGAATTATGATATGTGATGGGGGAGTAAAAATGGTCCAGGCTCGCCACACCACTCCTTTCGTGCTCTTTTTCACTCTCTTTTGGGACCATTCTATCTATTCTAGATTTATTCACCCGTTTTATATAATAATATATTAATACCCCTCTCCATATGTTTGGGCCTTCGCCGACTGTATTCTTAAGTGATCCAAAGTGCCAGATGGGCCATCTAGCATGAAGTGATGATGATTGATTGCAAACTAGTTAGGCCCAAAATATTATCACACGAACAGAAAAAGGGAGCCCAAGTAACTAGGCCGGCCGAAACACAACGTAACGTAGGGCACACTCTGTGTAGTCCGAAACGTGGAAGGATTGCGCCTTCAACTCACAAGTTAAGTTAGCTTGAGAATGAGAGGTAGTCCCCCTGCGGCCGGATGCCTTCTTTAGTCCATATCTATGTCCGCCGCCATGGCTATGCTGCATTGAATGATGAAGTTGGTAGCAAGGCAGTGATGCTAATTAACCAGCAGGGTTAATAAGACCATGGCCACTTTTGCTGTCCATACAGTACTTTGCCGCGCCATATTATTATTATCTTAGTTGTGGAAGAATAAGTAACCCAATTAATTAATTAATTAATATGGTGTTGTATTATTTTATATATAGAAAGCCATGCAAACATGTATATAGAGTTACTTATTAGTATCTATGCTTCATTGCTTTGATTGATAGTTTTTTTTTATATATATGGCAACACATGTTGTGTATCTTCTTCCTAGCTGGCTCTTTTGGTCATGTTGCCAAATTTTGAACAGTGAAGACATGCATACACAGTCATTGTTGCTCCTTATTGGGTGTCTCGATTGTTTGCACGAAAATGTTGATTGGGTGTCTCGATTGTGGTACGATCAAGAATGGTGATGCTGATTGGGTGTCTCGATTGTTTGCATGAAAATGCAAGGGAGATATTCTTATGTCGCGATACTCTGGTAATTATCAGCATTAATTAGTAATTCACGCAATGTCTAGTACTAAGGTTGGTTGATACATACAGAGTAGAGTTGAATTCATGCTAATCCTTGTCGTTGCAGGATTTCTTATCTAGTGTAGATAATTGGTCAGATGACTATGGTGTGATAGATCGATGTTGGTAAATTTCAGCTGCCTGTCTTTCCCAAGTTGACACATTTGACAATCGAAGTGTTGAAACCAGCTGCCTTTTGCACTCATTGCTCAGCTCAGCTTCCAAATTACAATCTCTTGTTATTGTCTTGGTGAGTTTCATTCATCTATGACTTATGTTCATATTTCTATATGCATGATTATTCATAAATGAGGGGGAAAAATAATATGTTCCATGAAACAGGAGAAGCGAAGAACTTCATTCGTGGGATTACGATGAAGACGAGTTAAAACCATATAGGATTAATTGATTGATACGTACTAATTAGTGGTTATTTTCAAACATATGATATGGTAGGGCAACACTGGCATCGTAGTGGAAGCTAAGCTAAGGCACTAGTTCAAGCAATGAATTAGAAACCCTGTCGGACTGAAAATTTTGTGAATGGAAGTTCAATTTGAAAATGGTCCAGTATGAATTTATAACATTTGAGTTGAAGTGAATGATGAATTAATTTTTGAATTCATGAATTAAACACATATTTCATATATTGTTCACTTGGCCCTAATAACTTTCTAAGAGCATAAACCAGATAGATAGTGGTCTCATAATCGATTTGGCATTGAACGAAGGGTAATTATGTGTAGTAATACAGAGTAAACCTTCTCGATAGCAAAACACAACAGAGTAACAAAGGTGCCAGTTATCAAACATCATCATTATTACGTTCTATGAACTCATTGTTGAACACATTTTTAGGGAGGGCAGCTTTGTAGCAGATGTTATGGACTTATGGCCCATGCTATGCTAGTGGGAGAGCATGTCATCGCGACACCTTGTAACTCCCTTTGCTATTGTCTGTACTTTGATTTTGAACGAGTGAAAACTCTCAGGCCGTCTAGGACTCCTTTCTTCTTCTATAAGAGTTGGATGAGACCATTCACTCACGAAAAACTTGCGTCATATCGCTCCTTCCAAATGAGCCCGATGAAGACTGATATTTGAATATGTGAGATGTGTACTCAACCTTTAGAACATGGACAGGTGAATGGTCATACCTCTCTAGCTCGGGAATCTTCCCTTATGAGTCAAGAATATCCAACTCACGTTCCTAGAAAAAAAATGCTTCGTTTCACTTAAGTAAGTAGTTTTCGATCAATAAGAAGTGAGCCTTCTTATAATATTTCTATAATCATAAGATAACATTAATAAGAATAGTGACATCCACCATATAACGAAAGCCTCCATCCAGTACTTATACAAGCGATGGATTTAAGATTTATATTTATGTTAATAACTCCTTGTTATATTTGCAATAGGTTGGACATTCAAAATTGATGGTTTTCTCAAGACATAGCTAGTCTTATATATGGATTGTCTTTTCAGCAAATAATTTAACATTGACAAATTAATGCGAATTCAAATGAACCTTCTCTTTAGAATAACACAACGTACGTATAGAAACTACCACGATGAATAACATGTACAATATTTTATAAGTTACAAACGATATTGGGAAATTAAAACAAAAAATCATGTGCGAGCACCAACTATTAACTGATAAATATATAATTAACACCAAAAAGGGTCACGATTTTCTTCTACGGCCTCCATCCTTATTAAATAGTGCTATTTTTTTATGTTTTTTACCACCTGAATCTCCTTACCACTATTATTATGGCAATATTTACCGCCTCGAATCTCCTTAGTCCTTACCATAGTTACCACCAGGTTCCATAGCTGGCCGGCGAAGAAAAAGGCTTCGTTCACACCAACCGAGACTTCGGGCGACGAAACGCACTCTACCCATCGCCAGCAGCGGCCGCCACAACGGGAGGCGGAAGAAGACCTTCAAAAATTCCTTACGACTGCCACCGGCTGTCCCCGGCGACGGCGCAGCAATAGGAGGAGAAGGACTGCTGACGGATCCAGGAAACCGGCGCAAACACCGCGAGAAACCCCGCGCAAAATGGAAAAACGGAATCCCGAAACGCCGAAACGCGGAACGTTTCGAGTTCTGAAAACCCAAATCGAAACGCGATAAATTGACGATAAATTGACGAGAAAGTGAAATTGACGATATATCACGATATATTAAAATATCGTGAGATTTACGGGATATATTGACTTTATTGCGATATGTTGACTCTGTGCCGAGAAAATGACCAATTCCGGGGGTTTGACACAGGCTGCCGAGACTTGGGCTCATTCTGTGGTGCTAACTGCTAAGGCCCAGTTAGGTACCAGCTCGATCGGCCCATCATAGCCTTTACCCTCGCGCGCCATCAACCCATCTCACATCTAAAGTCTAAACTGAAGCAGCCGTTCTTCCCTATCTCCTCGTTGGCGAAAAAAAAAAACGAGAAGCCATAACCAGGCATTCTTTCGTACGCGTTCTGTTCATCTTAACTTCCTAATTCCCATTGTTCAACGGCGAAGGAAAGAAAACGCTAGTTCTCGCCAGCGGGAAACTTCTCCCTTTCCAATTCACCTGTTCTTCTACAGAAATGAGAGCTCTCGCTCCCCTGCTGCGCTCAGCCGTCAACATTGCCCTGACTGGTCGCTGTCAGCTGCTGGACCCTTCCTTCGCCGCCGCCAAATCCCTCTCCACCAGCGCTGCTGCTACGTCCAAGCCGGATGATGACTTCGCACGGCGTATCTTCGAAAACGTGGATGAAGGAAGCTTCTTCCGCAGGCTCAGCAAGTTGCAGAACGCGCTGCACCAGCGGCAGCCGTCGCCCGCAGCGGTAGTGAGCGAAGGAGGTGCGGAGGATGGCGGAAGTTACAATACTTTGCAAGACGGGATGGATCAGAAGTTGAAGAACGTCGCCGCGGCCTTCGATTCAATTGATGGTGGCGAGAACTCCACAGCCAACAAACAGGATCTCGGTGGTTTCCGGCCGAACCCGAGCTTGTACCCTAGCTCGTACAATAACTCAAGGGTAATGATTGATGCACAGGTCACAGAAACATATTGCTTTTCGCGTTTTCATTTCATTGAGCTCGTTGTATGGTCTAGGGATTTTGGATTGCTTCTCTCAATCATTCGATAACCAAAGTGAATAGATGATCACAGTGTGAGGCAGGCTGAACATAATTTGATGAATTGATATTGATGGCAACTTGTATCCCTAGTTCCCTACTGTATATTTTTTAGGGAAATTGCTCTGGTTTGGTAGACATTGTGCTTATCAGTTTGATCCTTATATACATAAATATTTTATCATCAAAGTGACTGAATGAATTATTGTTTTTGGCCATGGAAGCAACAACGGCCATACAAACCGCGGCCAAGATATGAATTCAAAGTAACTACCGAGGAAGTTCTGCAAAAGGCCGATTTCAGGGTGAGTAATCACTGATATTCCTTACTCCTTTTGTTGGAACCCCTGCGATTCAGTGATATATACGGATAGTGAATGTACGGTTTTTCAAAAACTTTTGGGAATGGAACTAATGGTTTCTGTCATCCTGAAATACTTCTTGTTAAGTTCCTGTGTTGAATGTTGATTACCAACTAATGGATTCTTTGCTTTGCGATCTATTGAATTGATCTTGCCCAATATTGCAGAATGTTAGGTTCCTTGCCAACTTTATAACAGAGGCTGGAATCATTGTCAAGAGGAGTAAGGTAATGATCGAACCCGGATTCAGATTTTGTTTAAAGTCTCATGATTGCTTTGGCGTGATGAACAAAGCTTCAGGATAGAAGGTGTACATGTATGTCATTTACATGGAGCACATCTGTGCATTTGTAAAATTTTTTGCCTGGTGAAATCTGGGAAATCTGTTAATAGTTCCTTTTGTAAACAAAACTTGATGCTCGATAGTGAAGTAAATAACTCAAACAGTGTATGCCACAGAAATAGTGCACTTGAGAGTCATCATCTGAAACTTATATATTCTTCCATACTGGTTATGTGCCAAATGTTAGATATGTTAAGATACCAAACTGATCGATGCTCTGCTAGTTACCATTTGATATATATAGCCTTGATTGACTCTTCCTCAGCTGGTAACTCTTATTGATTCTTCTTCTTTTGTGGTATAGACTGGTATAAGTGCCAAAGCCCAGAGGAAAATTGCAAGGGAGATTAAAACAGCTCGAGCTTTCGGACTATTGCCTTTCACAACTATGGGGACAAAATCATTTGTCTTTGGCCAAACTATGGAGGAAGCAGCTCCTGTATCAAACCTTCCTGCTTACTAGTAGCTATAGCTGCTAATGGGATTAGAACAATCCTTCTTGCCTTGATCCCCCCAACAAATAATTGTTGGGGCATGTTCATATGCAAGCGTTGTTTGTTCATTTCTTTGGTTTAGTTTAGGGCGAGGTTGAGGGGTTCGAGTCATCGTAACTTTTTAGAGAGATAATATCCTTTGTGTACTTGTGCAACTCTGAGTTCAATGGCCACTTTGATATAGGTAAAGGGAAAACTTATGCTATCCAGACCCTTGACATTTTCAGGCATTTGCATTGAAAATTTCATTTCTGTGTGCTTTCATGATACTAGAGTTGCTTGTTTTTATTCAGTGCACTCTGAAATCCGGCCGATTTGATGTAGTACCAAATGAAATATTAAGAAAATATTGCATAGTAGAATCGAATGATATGTTGCCTTTGAATCTAGTCAATTCATTTCGTTTACTTGTTTGTTTCCAAAAAATTTCAAAATCAGATTGAAGTAAATTTTAATTACGAGAGTCGAAATCAAAATTCAATTTGAGCCGACACGTTTCGATTTGGAACGAAGTAGGTTCTTGCTTCTAGGCCTAACCAAGTTGGCCCGTATCTGAATGTTACCTTAAAAAATAACTCAAAATAAACGTACCGTTTCTGCAAGGGTAGGGCTAGGGCAGGCGGAAAATGGGGAAAAAAATCCCTCTTTCTCCTCCACGAGAGTTTTCTTTCGTTCGAGCACCACAGAAACGGAACAGAACAGAACTGAACTACTGTACCGTTCGTCGGAGGAATCCAGCGTAATCTACGGTCGCCTTTGCACTGCGCAACCCCGAATTCCTCCGCCTCCAATCAACCGAGACGACAGGATATGGTGAGTTCCACTGTTTTTACAACACTCCCTCTATCTGATTATCCCCACTCCTCTCATTTTCTATTACTGAGATCTGCTGCTGCCGACAAATTGACCCTGCGTCCTTGTTCTCTCTCAGAACCTTCTCTTCATTGAAAAGTTCTCTTCTTTTGGTCTCTGGGATTTTGAGGATATTGTAGGGGTTGGTTAGCTAAGTCATGCGCGAAAAGTGGGAATTAGAAAACTTAAGGGGTATTAGAGCATGAGCGACTTGGAAAATTTAAACGTAGCTGGAGCATGTGGTTGCTGTTGGCTATAACAGTAGTTTGTGCCATTAAGGTTGTCTTAGGCCTCTTGAAGTTAGTTGCATGCGATACTGAATTCGTATTTTTGACTGACAACTAGAGTTTGATTGTTTCTGAACTGTCAAGCACTTCAGTTGAAATCTGTTGGTTGGCTTTTGCAATGCTCTCTTCTAAGTTCCTGAAGGATTCACATGCCTAGCCGTTATTCGAATGATCGGTAGTCCAGCATCAGTTAAATTTCTGTTGGGGTGTGAATCTAGGACAGGATGAGGAACCTTATGGCCGGAGGAAAGATCTAGTTGTGAACTCGAGTGTTTACATTCTTTGTTGTGACTGAGGTGTGTCCTAGATGGTAAAAATGTAGATTGGCGTTCAAGCCCAATGCCATCTCTGTATTATCACTTCAATTTGTATGTTCTTTAACTCATCAAGCATTTTATGTTACACATCCTAGATGTGCTAGTTGATGCAGTGTTCAAGAACACTCGCCTAGGCGCTCGCCTAGGCGCGTTTAGTAGCTAGGCGAGGAGGAAACGTGGAGAGGAAGCCTGGGCGAAGTGGCTGGGCGCAATAAACGCGTAATCGCGTTGAAGAACGCCTAGGCGGCGAATAATAGCTTGGATCGGCGATTCCAAGCTCTAGGCGACGCCCAGAAAAAATAAAATAAAAAAAGAAGAAGACCATGCTGTGCGTTTTGGATGGGCCGAATAGGGGAAAACCCTAATGGGTTCTTCGATCAGCTGAGTAGCACCCACAGTCGACCGCCTCTCTCCTTCGTCACCTCTCTCCCTTCTCTCCAACAGTCGACCGCTCCAGCCGTCTCCAACAGTCGACCGCCTCCAGCAGGGGGCTTCGTCGCCGGCTGCAGCGTCCTCTCCGCCAGTCTCCAGAATCGCGCGCCGTGGGTCTCCATCATAGCCAATCGCGCCTCGTCCTCGCCGTCGGTCTCCACCATCGCCAGTGCCCAGTCGTGACTCATCCTCGCCGTCGGTCTCCAGCATCGCCAGTGCCCAGCCGTGACTCGTCCTCGCCGTCGGTCTGTAGCATTGAAGGTACTAACTCTTCTTTCTCTTTCGATTGAAGACGAACCCATAAGAGGAATCGACTCCAACAATAATGGGTTCTCGTCTTCGGATTGTGAAGAGAGCATCGTTTCCTCCCCTGTCCTCGGATTGCGAAGAGAGCATCGCCAGTGATCAGAGAGCTTCTTTTCATCTTTAGGCTTTAGATGATATAGAGAATAAGAATTGGCATTTGACAGGGGCTGCAAATTAGTGAACTTATGAATGTTATGTTTGATCTTGCACTCTAAACTTACATATTTATCATATATTTTTTTCGACGTTTAATCTCGCCTAGGCAACGACTAATCGGCCTGGGCGCTGGGCGGTGCCTCCTCGCCTAGGTGGCGCCCAGCGTCTTCTTGAACATTGAGTTGATGCTTGAGTTGTCTGTGAGGACATTGATAAATTGCATGTTATTTCATCTTCTGCATGATGTAGTTTATCCGAAACTCTGAGCTGTTATCTGAGGATGTTTGCATGGTTGCTCACATGAGTAGTTGATGCAACTAACTCTTTTTCTTGGATGTAATATGGTTTGTGTAAATGAGTAGGCAATGTGGGAATGACTATAAAAAGCACCAGTTTATGGAAGCTTTGTAACCATCTTGGATTGCATGAGACTTGTATCAGTGTCTGACGGGAGTTTAGGGATTTGGTTTCAAAAAAACATGTGGTGTGGGGGAGCTCAGACTTCTCATCTAGGTTGCATTGCAGGAGAGGGGTAATTATATTATTACTGATCTCTTACAGTGGACACTGAACTTCCTGATATCATTTAGTATGGGCCTTGAGCCCTTGGCTAACTGTGGTGTTGATTTATCTGATTATAGTCATGAGCTCTCCCTATCCTTAATTTGATCTTGCTTCTGTCTTGTCTCTTCCAGCCCCCCATATCTTCCTGAAGGTCGTCTGCTTTTGGAACTTACAATTCTTGGAGTAGCGCCCTTCTGCATGTAGCCTGGGGAGGATCCTGTTTCTTACATAGATCAAACAGCTGCTTCTGATTTGGGGCTCATGGCTGATCTTGCGCTGATAGCTATAGAATCTGATATGACGTTGTCCAATAACTCTCTTGTCATTGGACAACAATTTGCTGACGTAGAAACTTGCAGAAGGACGTTGAAAGACATTGCTATTGCCATGCACTTCGACCTCAGAATAGTAAAGTCTGACCGAAGCCGGTTCATTGCCAAGTGCTCTAAAGAAGGCTGCCCATGGCGTGTTCACGTTGCGAAATGCCCAGGTGTGCCAACCTTCTCAATTAGGACATTACAGGGAGAGCATACATGTGAAGGTATCCAGGACCATCACCATCAGCAAGCATCGGTAGGCTGGGTGGCTAGATCGGTAGAAGAACAAATTCGAGATAACCCCCAGTACAAACCGAAAGAAATCCTCCAAGAAATCAGAGACAGACATGGGGTCGTGGTATCTTACATGCAAGCATGGCGTGGGAAAGAACGCACTATGGCTGCCCTCCACGGTACTTTTGAAGACGGATTCCGTCTCCTTCCTTCATACTGTGAACAGATAAGGAAGACAAACCCAGGTAGCATTGCTTCTGTTACTGCAACCGGACAAGAAAACTGCTTCCAAAGGCTGTTCATCTCTTATCGAGCTTGTATATACGGATTCATCAATGCTTGTAGGCCTCTCTTGGAACTTGATAAAGCCAATTTGAAGGGGAAATACCTTGGCACCCTTCTCTGTGCTGCTGCCGTTGATGCTGCCGATGCATTATTCCCCTTGGCGATTGCTGTTGTCGACAAGGAGACTGATGAACACTGGATGTGGTTCATGTCGGAGCTCCGGAAGCTTCTCGGTGTCAACTCCGAAAACATGCCTCGACTCACAATATTATCTGAGAGGCAAATGGGGATGGTGGAGGCAGTTGAGACACACTTCCCTAGTGCCTTCCATGGCTTTTGCCTTCGCCATGTCAGCGAGAACTTCCGAGACACATTTAAAAACACAAAGCTCGTCAACATATTCTGGAGTGCAGTTTATGCCCTCACAACTGCTGAGTTTGAAAGCAAGATCTCTGATATGGTGGAGATTTCTCAAGACGTTGGACCCTGGTTTCAGCAGTTCCCACCTCAGCTATGGGCTATATCCTACTTTGAAGGGATGCGATGTGGTCATTTTGCACTTGGGGTGACCGAGTTGTTGTACAATTGGGCTCTCGAATGTCATGAAGTCCCGATTGTGCAAATGATGGAGCATATTCGTGAGCAGCTGAATATGTGGTTTGAGTCTCGTCGTGATATGGCCATGAGTTATAACTCGGTCCTTGTTCCTTCTGCTGAGAAGAGGATTGCAGAGGCTATTGCTGATGCTCGGTGTTATCAGGTGCTCCGTGCTAATGAAGTGGAGTTCGAGATTGTGTCGACCGAGAGGACTGATATTGTCGATATCAGAACTCGAGTCTGCTCGTGTCGGCGTTGGCAGATATATGGATTACCTTGTGCGCATGCTTCAGCTGCTTTACTCTCCTGTGGGCAAAATGCCCATGTCTTTGCAGAGCCATGTTTTACTGTAGCTAGTTACCGTGAGACTTACTCTCAGCCAATAATCCCGGTACCTGATAAGAGCATGTGGAGAGAAGTACCAGGCGAGGGAACCGAAGGTGGGGGCGCGAAAGTTGAGATCTTGATACACCCTCCTAAGACTCGACGACCACCTGGAAGGCCTAAGAAGAAGGTTCTTCTTGTAGAGAACTTTAAGCGACCCAAAAGAGTTGTTCAGTGTGGTCGGTGTCATTTGTTGGGGCATTCTCAAAAGAAATGCACAATGCCGATTTGAATTCAAGAGTTACATAGCTTCTTCTAGACTTTGTTTTTTCGTTTTTAGGGTCATAAATTCCTAACAGAATCTGTGTTTGTAACTCTAATGTATGTTTCCATTCTAATCCTTACGGTGTATAGTTAATTTATCTACCTTTGTGCGTGCTCTCGAGGTTCGTCATCTGCTGTACTTTAACATAACAGTTGCAGCAGGAAGTGCTCTCATTGCTCTCTTAGCGGTACAAGCAGCAAAGAATGGTGCGTAATTGATCGGCTACTTCCATGGATGTCATGGACGATTAAGGTACGTGACTCAACAATGATCTTTTTGCATGATCTCAAGCTGGTTTAACTTCTTCTCGGGTGCTGATCAGGAGAAAACCAGCACCTTCTAGCTAGATAGTTACAAGAATTTTAGTTATGGGACAGCATGCAGAGAAATAAAGAAAGATTGCAGCTTCCCATTATGTATGTAGTACCCACAATACAATTGTACATACAACTAGTACAAATATTTGCCATCTATGCATCAATAGAGGAAGAATAAAAAAACCAAAAAAGCAAACTTTGGACTAATTTTCAGCTTTTATTAGCCCTTCCAACCCATTCATCTTTATTTACTGCATGGCATAAAGCAGGAAGGAAACCACGAGGCTCCCAACCAGCTGGCTTGCCCCACCAAAGTAATGGCCCGACGTCCCAACGGCCGATGACCACTCCGACGTGGTGTTCCGGTTGCTGGTACGGCTCAACGCCCCGCCCACCACCGCTCCAGTGAGGACTGGCCGACTGCTGGTCCGGGCGCCACCGCTGCGGCCGCCTTTGGCCTCGAGAATGTCGAATGAAGCAGAGAACTGCCATGGCGACAACCAAGAGGGTCACTACTAGAGTTGCCGGGGAACACAACTTGGCCATCTTAGCTAGCTGGTTAGTTGTGGAACGAAAGAATGGAACTTAATTAATAGGGTTATAGGTATAATATGCCCCTCTACTATGTCATTTTATCAAACATGCCCCTGTACTTTGAAAAAATTATCAAACATGCACTTATGTTAAAAATTTTATCCAAAAACCGTTAACTATGGCCAAACTTATGTTGTGGAACGAAAGAATGGAACTTAATTAATAGGGTTATAGGTATAATATGCCCCTCTACTATTTCGTTTTATCAAACATGCCCCTCTACTATTTTTTACATCAAACATGCCCCTGTACTTTGAAAAAATTATCAAACATGCACTTATGTTAAAAATTTTATCCAAAAACCGTTAACTACGACCAAACTTTTGTTTGGGCGGCACAAATGTCTAAAATATCCCGAATAATTTCACTTTAGAATTTTTTTGGTTCTTTTATATAGCCAAATAATCCTAATAATTTCACTTTGATGGACTCAGAGAAATCAAACAGGGGACAAAACTGACATTTTCCCTCCCATTTGCCGATATCGGGTCGTCTAAATTTCGGTTCAACCATGATTGACAATTTTTTCAATTAAAATTTTAAAAGAAGGGCATGTTTGATAATTTTTCCAAAGTACAGGGGCATGTTTGATGTAAAAAATAGTAGAGGGGCATGTTTGATAAAATGACATAGTAGAGGGGCATATTATACCTATAACCCTAATTAATATATATATAATATGGAACTCTTGGTAACGGCAGGGCCGTTCCATAATATTCGGAGGCCCTGTTCCAAAATTAAAGATGTGGCCCTAAATTTTTTTTCCTGTAAAATTTATTAAAAAAAAATACACTAGTTCAAAAAATGAGTTAACAACTCAATCCTCTGCTTTTTTTTACGCTTAGAAGTTAGAACTACCTTATTCAAATTTACTAGTTGACATGATTAAAGTTGTTACCAAAAATTAATGATTACACTCAGGCAATAACCACTCGAAAATCAAATAGTACTAATCCAAATTTCCAAGCAAAATCCCTAAAAAAATAAACAAAAATTTGGTTAGAATACAGGACCACTCTTCCCAAAACAAATTAGGCAGATTCACTCGCCCAAATGACCAGTCTGCCAAAAACAAAACCCTGCAAAAAAATAAACACAAATTTGGTTAATGGTTACAGTGCAAGCCCATTCGGATTCATTCCAAATTTCAACCTCCAGGCCCATTCGGATTTTGGTCTGGCCCGACGGCCCTATTGCTTCTCCTTCTCCAGCTCCATGACTCCAAACTCGCCATTCTCAAGCAGAAGCAGAGTATCAAGGTGGGACGTCGGAGAACAGACTCTCCAGAGGCAGCACACTAAAAATCAACAAAAGACAAGAGGAATTCTTACGGATTGGCAATTACCAAACGACGGCTTAAAGACTGAAGTCACCAAGACGCCAAGTCGAAACCAGGGGAAGGCAGGCGGAATAAGGGATTGTCGTATTGATTTTGATTTTCGGCTAATCGGCTGCTTCAGGAGGTGATTGAATTCGTAAAGGAATGAAAATGCGAGGAAGAATCTGGGCTGGGCGGTTTTTAAGGAGAAGGAATTAGAGAGTAGAGACGTTAAGCAATAAACATTGATTATGAATTGAAACGTTGGTTTAGTGACGTTGGTATCTTTTGGGAAGGTGAGATTTTTGGGGAAAGGATTAATGACTGATTATTTTGGGAACGGAAGGGGAGATTAAGTGGCGGAGCAGAGGCGAAGATTTCTGGGGAAATGATTGATGATTGATGATTTTGGGAAGGGAAGGGGAGATTAAGATGCGGAGCAGAGTAGAGGCCTCTGCGTCTCGTTTCCTAAAAAAAATTATATATGTGTATTAGGTATGTGCTTTGAGGCCCAAAATATTTTGAGGCTCTGTGCTGTGGGTCAGACCAATACAAGGCCCGGGCCTGGGTAACAGAGGCTGGAGAAGTTGTTCGAATTAGATAGAAGAGGTGAGAACGAATGTGGATGAATGATTTGGCAAGGGAAGGGAAATGGCGGAAGGATATATATGTAGTTGCGAGGAGGATTGCTCTCCCGCGGGCGGGGGTTTGACTGAGTTGAAGTTTATTGGCGTGTATCTATGGTGCCAAGTTGATGGAAGGTAGGACTTTTCTGGCTTGGCGGCTTAAGTCTGTGTAAATCTATAACACGCGCCAGAGTCGGTTATCTGAACAGATCACTAAATTTTCTAGGTACGAACAAATTGGTCACTGAACTTTTATTTTTATCGAATTTGTCGTAAGAGCCTGGATTAATAAACCTTGGGAGCCATTATATATATATATACATGTGTTGGTCTAAGTCAAGTTTATGATCATCTGAATTTCTATTTTGTAAATCAGTATGTAGATCGATCAAATTAATAATAGCTAGTGATAGGTCGCATTTAATCCTCCAAATTGATATCGAGGAAGAGAAGGGTAATGTAGGTAGAAACAAGAGGGTGGTTTTTGTATGGGTGTGGGTTAAAAAACGGGATTTAATATGTCAGATTATTCGAACAATAGTGACTGTTTATTATAAGTTTTGAGGCCAAAAAATCAACATGAAAATATGAACAACTTAAATTTTTTATGTAGAAAGGAATGAGGAAGTAAGTAATTTTGTCAGTAATTGCAAATTTTGATAAAGAAACTGTTGGGGGGCATGCAAGAGGCCCAAAGGAAGGGCCCAAAGAGTCGAAGTGGGCCAGAAGTGCAGACCTGGCAAGGGGAAGGCCCAACCCAAAAGGGGCCGGGGGCTGTAACATAGGTGGTGGGACCGGGCGTGACGTAAGGCGCATAACGACAAAGGTGGCAACGGCCGGGAACGTACGGAGGAGACATAATGTGGGGTCATGCGCCTCGGGGTCGAGAACTGATGTCAGAATGTCGGGGTGCATGGCAACGGTAAAGTACAATGCATTTAATGAGGTGATGACGTAGGGCGGATTTGAGGGGCAGTGATCGACCCTACCCGGAGTATAAATAGTGAAGTGGGTGAAGTTCATTTACTCATGTTAGACTTCTCTCTAAAAACTATATTCTACTTCTCTCTCTAGAATAATGTTCTAACTAGGGCGTCGGAGTGCTAACGAGCCCTAAGTAAGGGGCTCGGTGGGCGTCTCCTTGTGCAAGGACGAGGGGAACTAAAGGGGCGGACGGGAAGAGGAGGAGCGCATTGACCGGGGTAACGCTGGGTTACTTGGCATAAACAGAAACTAAGATGTAACGAAATGATAATGTCGATAGTTAGAAGTGCAAGAGATGATCCAGACAAGGAATTTTTATTGAGAGAAAGAGGAGAGAAAGCAAGCAATTAGCAAACTAATTAAGCAGATACATATTTTATATATAGAGATTCATTCATTCATTCATTAATGAAGTATGACTAGATGGCATAAAGCAGAAAGGAAAGGAGGAGCAGAATGCAGCAGGTCCCAAGCAGTTGCTGGGTTGGGCCTGCAGCAGCGAGATGAGGGGCCGACGACTTGGTAGCTTCCTGTGTCTGTTGCAACGCCTCGTTGGAGACGTCTCGGCCATACTTGGTGAACAGTTCCTTTGCTTTGGCCGCGGCGCCTGATGCCGCCTCGTCTGCTGCTCCCGCTACTCCGGTCGGCATGGGGAGGCCCTCCGCTGATGTCGACATGAGGCAGAGAACTGCCACCGCCGCCACAACCACCACCGTCAGCAAAGTTGCCGACCTGGAACTCATCATCAGCAGCAGCAGCTTCGTCGTCTTGTCTTAACTAGTTAGTTATCAGACGATCGAAGAGGAGCTAGATCGAATTCAATGAATGGGTGGTTTAATTTTTGTGCAACTTTAAATTGGTGCATATATACGTAAAACAGAGATTGGTTGAACAAGTTGATTTGTGGATGGATGGACGAATGAATTGTGATGGTGCACATGGAGGATTTATATATAGTTGCGTCGAGACGTTAGGACAAAGGCTTACTAGCTACTTGACTTGACTCGACTCCATCGGTTGAAATTTCAACCAAGGCGCCCACAGGTCCACTCCACATATATATATAGAAGAAATGAAGGAAAGGACCGAGCAATTACTAACTGCTAGCTATATATACTCCGACGACCAAGACCAAGACTCGATCGGTTGAAGTTTGGCGTCTGTCTATATTATATAGCTATGGCCCCAAGTTTGGAGACTAAAACTCTGTGTGCCGATTGAAGAAATTGATACTGGCCACGCGTAGTAGTAACCGTCCGATTGGATATCATATAGGGTCAGGAAAGGAAGGGATTGGTTGTTTCGTGGAAATGTAGGTTTTACCAATAACCAAGTCTAATCAGCAATAATGTACGTAGTAAAAAAAACTTCAATTTTACTATTCTAGAACATCGAAACGGTCATATATATAATTACGTTTTTCCTAACTAATGTTGTCAAAATAGCATTTCAAAAATTAAAATTAACTTACACTTTTGTACACTTATACGTCTTCTAAACAGAATTGCGCTTTTAACTAACTACATTAATAACGAGTGTGGTTCTTCGTAAATATGAGTTAAAAACAAGTCTGCCCATGAAACATATATGTGAGAACTTTTTAGCAGGTGAATTCTACCTCACAATTTAACAACATTAATTTTAAAGTGCCATGCTCATTTTTATTCACTTGACTAGATTATTATTTGTGCCACGTTCCTTCTTCTTCTTCTAGACGTGCGCTTCAAATCCTTCTTTGTCTAACTTGAGGCGCCTAGTCCCCTACAAAAGAGGCGCATGCACATTGGATCTTGAGGGTCTGTTAGTACTCCAACGATTAAGTCGGTGCACGTACAAGTCTAGATAGATAAATAGGCAAAGTTTTTTTTGGTAGAAAAAGTAGGCAAAGTTTTAGTGAGAGAGTTTTCAACCTAGTAAATGCGGGTCACCTGTCCTCCTATTTATACTGGGAGTCTTTCCGACCAATGCCTCAAATTCCGCTCCACGTCAACATAGTAATTAATGCTCCGTACCTTGCCTTTGGTAGGCACCCCGACATGCGGTTCAGGGTGCATGGATTGGATTGGATTGGAATGGATGAATTGAGATGGCTTCGATGGAGGATTTATATATAGAGAGACTGGCGGTCGAGCTGCCTCCAGCGTTACTACGTACAACCAAGGTTTACTACTATTTGACTCAACAGTTGACTCGACCCGGTTGAAGTTTCTGTTGGCGTAGTTGAGCGCGAGACTACTACTACTTTTCGTGTGAGCAATGATGAACCCTAATCTGATTGTAAGATTGAGAATGAAAACTTCAGTAAAAACAAATTTGATCAAACAAACTGAATAGAAAACCAGTTGATGTAACCAAGTTAATAAACCGATTGGGCTTAGGCCCAATTCTTCTTTTAATTGACAGATGCCGAGAAGACAGCCCAGCTTCTTGATTTGATTTTCTTATCAATACGCCAGCGTTTAGCTCGTCTTCTTCCTGTCTTCAACTGTTGCCAAGTTCCACTTCCTGCACAAAACAGAGTACCTTGCCAAAACAAAGACAAACTGCTGCAGAGTTAGAAATTTAGATATTCAGACAAAGACACCGAGATTTTTACGTGGTTTCCGATACTGAAAAATCAGTATCGACTAGTCCACGGTCAAAGACACTCTGATTGAGCCCTTTGACAATATACTATGGATGTATGTGTTCAGTTTACAGAATACAGAGTCGATTTCCCAGTGACTCCCTGTCACACAATCAGACTCCTTAGGAACACTGACTCCCCGTCACCCGTTTCAACCCGATGAATACTGATCTCTCCGAGCTCTCTCCCAGACAGCTCTAACCTTCTTTCGTTCTTTTCAAACACAGATTTTACACCTTCTCTCTGCTTTGAATTTCTCGTACGAAAGCTACATTACCCCCTTTTCCCTCCTTTATTCTCCCAAATTCTATGACCGTTAGGTTCCTCTTGCCTAATCACCATGATCTTTGATTTGATATTGATTCAGGACCGACTTTCCCAATTTGTTCGACTGGCAAGGTTAAGTTTCCGTCTTTGAGTCCTCTGATCGTGTATTCCTTTTGAGTCTTAGAGCAAGCTTTTTGCCAATAGTTTCAACCCATTATTATAAGGAAACCATCAAGCAACTACGTGCTAATTAATAGGAGCCGCCAGGGCAGGGCAGGACCCACTGAAATAATAATACATGGGAATTGGGATGGTAGCTACTACTCCGACGACCAAGACTCTATCTATCGGTTCGGTTGAAGTTTGGCGTCGATCTCTGGCGATGGCGCCAAGTTGATAATAATGGAGACATGTCTTTGTATTGTCAGGAAGGAAGGGAATATTGGGTTGTTTCCGGTAATTATCTTATATGTAAAAGCTGACTACGCTTTATTGCCCCCAAACTTGCTACCACTGTTTCAATATTTGTCGTTTATTGAAGGCTTTGGGGCTTCTCGCACCCAGCCATTCACCATTTCACCTCCACACGGTTACGCCTTCCCTGTCTTTTATCAATCGGCCATGTCCTCCGTACACCATCGCCAGTTGGCCTTACCTCAAAATCTACAGCCGCGGGATACAGTCTTTTCAGCTCTCAGTTTGGAACGACACGCCACCGCTGATGAGACCTCTTCGCATCAGCTCACACACGCCAACACCCATAATTGGTACGATCCTCACCTTGCTGCCATCGATTAGTGGAAGAGCCAGCTTCTCTGCTTCGGCCCTCTCAAAACCGTCTGCAACTCTTTTCGATTCTGTTGTTTCTCTCTTCCCCGCTTTGACGCTAGCCTTTTCGACCACCATCAAGTGAAATTCCACTCCCAGGCTATCTACTTCCCCTTTTCTTCTCATCTCTCTTCTGTCGTAGAGTCTGATTTTCGTCACATACTTTCCAAATCTAGAATTCTGGAGAGGTGCGAAAGTTAATTGGGAGGAGGTAATGGAGAATCATTGTCGTCGTAGGGATAGGACCGAAAATGTTGTTGCAGTGCCGAATGATGTCGTCGGCATCGACGGAAGGAAGAGGGGAAGCGAAGATTCGATTGGGAGGCGGACGGAAAGGAGAGCAACCAATGTTTGGGTTCGGAGTGTGCGGGTCTGTTCGGGTTAGTTCTCTGTTTTATTTCGCTTCTTCTTCCAATTTCATCACTTCTGTTTCCTCTCTAATTCTGTACTCCTTCCTTTCCCCTGAAGGTTCCTACTTAGAACATGGCTTTTCTACGAAAGAATTGCAGTTAATTATTGGTCTCATTGGTGCAACTGTGAAAGAGCTGTTGTTTGTTTATTATGGGATTGTTATTGTTTGATGGACTGTTATGCTTACACTAAAGCTAATCTCGGGGCATACCGTAGACTGTACAACTGAGCTAGGGGTAGATTTTCAATTTTCTCACTCGGCTCGCTAGCTTCCAACCAAAATCTGTAAGTAAGAGAGTATTTTTTTTTTTCTTGCTTTGTGGTGGCTAAATCTGGATATGTCATATGCAGGCACAGATTGGCGGTGCAAAAGCTGTGGGGTAAGAGGATGGACAACGATGTCATGACTCCTGTTGGAATCAAAGATACAAGCAATGGTAAGTGATTTCCACAGCAAATTCCCTTCATTTGGTTGTTTGTATGTGGACAAAACTCTCTGTTTGCAAAATCTCATACTGTCCCAAAGTCGATCCAGTTTCAGCACCTTGCTCAGTTCTAAAAGATGAGTTCGTTCATTTGCTTCATCCGTCATTCACACCGACTTTAGTTATCAGTTACGTTCCTAGCCTCTTCGTCAATTTTTGCTAACAATATTGGTGGATACAAATAATGGCACGAGATGTTCTGTGTCTTTGAGATGGTATATGGATACAAGCAACTTTACTCTTTGTTAGAATCTTTCTTGAATGCTATTTCTTGCTTCATTGTTTGCTCTGTCAACCTCACTGCTTTCTGATGTCAACCCAAATTCAAGACAATACATTATGAATAATTTTTTGCTTCACTCTCTGTAACTAACCATACCAACTAGAATAGTGTAATGACAGAATAGTGTACTGGCTTTTGGTCCAACTTAGAGTCTACTGGAGAATTTAATTAATAGTCTCCCATGTGTGCTTAATACCATACTTAATTTTTGTCATCAAATCTCTCAATTGAATTTGGAGTATGTTGGAGAATTTAGTTAATGGTCTCATTGAATGCATAGTGAGGCCCTTAAGTTTCTCATGCACGATAATGAGAGCGTGTGTCAGTCTACCATGCTTATTCCAATGCTTGAGTTCTCTTCTTCACTTTGATGCTTCTTGATTGATTCTAACTCAAATTTAACTCCTACAGATGAAGGAGACCTCTTTGAGTCTATTGAGCTTCCAAGGACTCCTTTTTGGTGCTTGGCCACCTAGATATCAATGGATTTTACAAAAAGATTCTTCCATAGTCCAGCAATGCATCATTAATACACATTTCTGTGTTCCAATTATTCCTAATATCAGTGTTCTACGACCAATGCAGACCCTAGACAAGAGGTTGGTTTGCCTTCTCATGCTTCCTTTTTCATTTTACTAGCCATTTAGACCTGCGTTTGCTGCTCATACGGTTCAGAGGTTGCAGCGGGGACATCAAACCCAACTATGCAGTGCATTTTTCAAATTTCCATGCATGCTCAACACTTGGTAATTAGTAACTCTGTAGGAAGTTATCACAGACAAAGAACCAGCTGAAAGAACCTTCCTTGCTTTCTGCATTTGCAGTTTTGTTGTGTTGTCTCTTGCATGGTCTATCTTTGCTCGATAACAGAATTGCACCTCAATGGAAGTACAAATGATAGTTATGTGTACCACAAATCAAAGTCCTTTTATGCAACTGAGTCATACTATTAGATCCTCCTATCTTTACTGATATATTTGACTTCCATATCACTAGACTTATGTTTGTCTTTTTGTAATTAATATAGGAAATTCGTTGGTACTTCAGTGACCGTGGCCTTCAATATCGTCGTAGGGATAGGATACTATCACCATTCTAAAAAAAATGGTATTTTGGGGTTTAAACAAACTGAAGCTCAAATTGAACTTCTTAAGAAGCTACTACTATAATCATATGGTTGTATGGTTTTTATAAGTGAGCATAAAGCCTGAGTTTTCGTTATACAATAAGTGTACATATATAGTAGCTAGATGTCATTACAAAGAGAGCCTAATCTTACGGAAAGGCAAAACAAAGTATACTGTAAATAAGGAACTGAATAAACAGAATAAAGAGAAAACTGGGGAGGTGGTTTAAATTAATGTAGACATTGTGATGTTCTATCAGTTTTATGCATCAGAGTTGGACATTTTGCATGGCACGTTGATCACTCTGCCAGAGTGATGCAAATCATTACAACGGAAATTCGCGATGCTTAGGATCAAGCTAGCGAAAGATCAATGGAACTGTCGCAGTGTGAGCTTTTACTCTCACTTTTATGTTGTACAAACCTGTTACCATAAATGTGTGCTATGATATGTAATCTAGCTTTGCTCCCAATATCTTTGTGCTATGATGCCTCAACTCTTCAACAATGCAATGCTGCAGCAAAAATCTCACTTCTACAGAAATCAGCAGAAGAGTATTTGACTCTCACTGGTACCGGTAGAAATGGATGTCTTAGCTTTGTCATAAGGTGTTTACCGTGGAGATTGGAACTGGAAAAGACACATAAATTGTCAGTTTGGTGTTTGAGGTCGACACCATATGACATCCACTTGCCTTTGCCATTTCCACGCGTTAGATCCTGTCTGTTCCTTTATTATGTCAAGATCTTCCTATGTTAGAGTTTTAATCCAAAACATATTTTGCTTCAAAGGTCTGCCCGCACTATGTTTACGTACACTTTGCGTGGTACAAATATTTGTATTTCGAAGACAAAAAGATTATGACAAAAAAAAGACAAAAAGATTGTCGATCAATGTGTCTTAACAATGCATATACTTTTTACTTTCACTTTTATAAACTGGAGCTCATGTTGCTTGGAAAGTTCACCCTTTCACTGCCCAGATTTGCTTTGCATAAACATTGATATTTACTTCTCTCTTTCCCCTCTTACCCGCCTTGGTATGTTGAGAGAAGCACATCATTAATGTTGCTAGCTTTCTTCAATCATTGTCGTTTCCTTTAGTTTGAATTACACCAGCCTGTGATTTCTTTGTTTTCTTCAATCAAAATGCTCTCTTACACTTTTTATGACTTTTTTTTCCAGTAGCACAACGACACAAGTCTTCTACTTTCAAAATTTCTGAACCCACACGGTTGCCGGTGGCCCAACGATTCCACTTCATTGTCACATAAACTGGCCATGATATATGATCATGTTGTTGCAAGAATTGATTAGTAGACGAAATGGCCACAAACATGACTCTCCACCTCCTTACATAAAAGAAAACTACAACAACCTGATTTGACCATAAACTAACTACCCATCCATTCATCACGAGTCTGCACTTAAGTTCCCGCGGCGTAGCAGCGGGCATTTTTTCTAGTATGTTTGTATCACCAAGAACCCAGTATAACTAGATTGAGTTTGAGTTATAATACTATATCCTAATTTCTAATAGATAAATTGCAGACTTTAATACAAAATAATAATAGACGATTCTGATTAATCGAAATACAACAAAGTACATCCAATGATTATATAACTTCTCAAATACAACAGATATTATCTTCGATCAAAAACTACAACTTAGATAATTTTTGTTGAAAGACTTGAGCTTGAATTACTCAAAATACTGAAATTGCTTTACATTTAAGTTATGCAAACTTTTCTTTCACATTTCCTATAAATATTTAGTAACGAAATCAGAAAATTGAGGGAGTAGCTAGTAGTTGAGAGACTGAAGTTGAAGGATTCAAACTCTGGAACTGGAGGGCTTGGAGAAGCAATATCAGTTGCAACTTTCTTAATATCCATAGAAAGTAAAAAAACCAGCTGTCTCAGACACATGCAGTATAATCCAACTTTAGCAATTTATACAAAACATAATAGGATTATATAATAATAATGTTGATGATTTGGTGTACATCTCCCTAATTCATAGCTAAAACATTAATTAATTTAATATGCTGTCCACAGAGGCAGCCAGAAAGGAACTAGGAAAGTTGCGAGCAATAACAGACGAGCAGGACCACCGAAATATGAATGCCACTCCGGCCCACCCAACGAGGACGAATGCGCCGTGCCGTTCCTCCCGGCGCGTCCGGCAGCACCGCCGGCCGCCCCGCCCACCACTGCCCCCGTAATGGCTGGGCTGGCCCTATTTCTGCCTCTTCCCTTGCGTCCCCCACCCCCACCGCCGCGTTTCGCCTCAGCTGAAGTCGACATGAAGCAGAGAATCACCGCCGCGATAACCACGACGGTCAATAGTATTTTAGCGGAAGAAACAGAAGCACCGCCGCCGCGACGACGGCCGAATCTCAACATCTTTGATTTGATGGGATTAATCGCAACAAAACTACTGTCTAAAGTATTAACTTGTTTTGTTTTTCTTCTTCGGTTTGTGTGTGTGGATATGAGAAATGATGGTTGCGGATGTAGCAGGCGAGACAATTTTATAAGCGTCGTCTTGTGCGCGGATTACAAGAGTAGCGCGTAAATACAAGCCAAGGGAAGGGAAAAGAGAAGTAGTCATTTATTTATTTATTTGTCTCGATCGATCGGCGTCTTCCAAGTTGGTGCTCTGACTTGTTGACTAGTGAATGCATGGGTCAGGGTGGGACTCTGATCTAATACTGTCAAAGTGTCAATTCAATTGTTAAACAACTCGAGTCGATCGCTTTTCGTTTTGTGGTGGAGGATCCTTCCTTATCCAAAATCAGTTGCTATGCTATTGATATTGCTAGCTAATGTTTTCGCCCAAACCCACAATGAGAATGAAGAGGACGAAAAGGAACTATGGGCCGGGCCGGGCCTGGTGGGGTATTGATTAATGGGCTGGTCGGGCTTCGTTAAGATGGTTTCTCTTTTGTTTTGCGGGAATAAAAATGGCCCACCCCAGAAGAGGCGAGGCGAGGCGGGAAGGAAGCCCTAACTAATATAATATAATATAATATCTATCTAGGTGAAGAAAAGAAAGAAGAGAGAAGAAGCAGAAATGAAATGGCAGTGTGAAGCGGCAGCCGTTTACAATCAAGTTCGCCGAGGCCAGAATAGAAGAAGAATATACAAGGTAGTGGAGAGGAGAGGCAAAAAGATGGAAGGACCTCATCATCATCAGATTCAGGAGGGTGCTGGAGAAACGGCGCCGCCATTATCATCGCTTAATCCGGCGCCGCCGGTGGTATCTGCTGAAGAGAACGTGGAAGCACCCCAGGATGTTCAGGAGGCTGCGGGTGATGATCAGCCGGTCGCTCAGGCTCCCAAATGCATCGATGAGTGCGTTTAAGCTAATGTTCTCTAATTCGCTTGTTGGTTATTATACGTAAATCTCTTCTTCACGTCGGAATTAGCTAGGTAGCTTTATTTTTCCATGATCGATCGATCGATCAGCTGAAGCCGAATCATCCATCGGCATTAGCAAGCTTCTAAGCTTGGGCTCCTTGTCCTGCGCATTGTGTACGCTTGGCTTTGCTGGCTGTTTCATTTAATTGTGATTTGGTTTGGTTTGGTTGATCAGCCTGATTTCATTGACATCAATTCTGATTTGTTGTGTTGCAGTGGGGATGACGAATATGATCGTGGAGAACATGAAGCCATGCTTAGTGACACTGCCAAGATTGCAACAGAAGCTCTGGAATTCTACAACAATAAGGAGGTTCGTCGATCGATCGGTTTTCATGCATCTTGATTATTAGTTAATAGCTGCTTGCTACATACAATGATTCCCACCTGCCACTGAATTGATCATGATAGTTACATGTGTTGATGTCCTTTGTTAATCAGGGTACCAACTTTGTGCTTCGGAAGCCCTTGCTCAGCTGGTGTAATCTGTTCCCCGGTACTCTGGCCATCCACGCCAACTTCAAAGCCAAGAACGTGGTCGACCCTGCTGTTCCGGAGAACAACCCTCCCAGTCAGCTCTTCTTCTCCGAGACACTCAAAGTCTACCGCCAGCCCACCCGCATTCTCAACTGTCTCATCATGGACAAGCGTAGTAGTACGCAGGTATACGCACAGGTTGTGCACATTGTCCGACCCACATATGCGGCACAACTTTCTACCATCCTCCTATGGGGAATTCGGAGTATGGCGAGGATGAGGAGAAGGATCATGCAAGGTTTGATTACGATGAATCGACCAGCTCATCAGACGATGAAGAGTAGCTACTAGCTAGGCCTTAGCTGAATCCCCTTGCTGGGTGGCTGGCAGGCAACAACTAACTTGTAGTGGTGGTAGTAATTTGTTCTCTCTCAAACAGGATGAGGAAACTTCAGATATTGTCATAGCAGCCAGTTCCTTTGATGTAGATGCTCTATGTTCGCTTCACACATGTTTGTTAAAAAGAAACTAGTACCTTCCCTTCCCTACTCTTCTTGTTTTCTTTATAATACGTCTTTGCATCGAAGGGTATTACATAAATCTCCTTCATATGTTAAATGTCAGCCAACGAGCATGTACATGGTGTCACCTCACTAACAACGAATTTGAGTTTGATGAAGTTAAAAACGACATAACACGAGAAAGATTCATGTTAAAAAACCAGAAGGTCAACAATATTAAGCCTTTGTTTTCTTCTTTCATTTTCATGATCAATGTCACCACTAACTTTCATTTATGGCCATATTCAATGTGGTCATTACAGAGGATTAAATATTAATAACTAACCTCAGTTTGGTGGTAAGCTCCTCGCAAATTTTATCATCAGCTGTCTTCCGCAAGTAGATAGTTATGACTTACGATCCAAGAAAGCCAATGAAGTCGGACACTTGAGCTGTGTAATAATCTGGTTTGATATGGTTCGATGGATTGTGCAGAAGGGTTTCAGTCGTCACACCTGCAATGTTCATTGGACTAGCTTATGATCGTTACTTGAATGTAATTATCCCCGTCGACTTCCACTGACATTAGTTCCGACACATACTAGACAGAACAAGAAGAGTTTTGCAACCAGAGCTTTGTCCAAATAGGATATCAGTGTCCAGTCTATCACCCACCATACACATTTTCGAGGTAATGATGTTAAACCTGCAAAAACAACCGATTCGTCCCAAATAACTTGAGCTGCTTAAACATGAAAGATTCAAATATAGAGCCATAAAACTGGAATCATACAGAGAACCGATTCATCCTAACTGCTGGAGTTGTTCAACAGAGATTTAAGAATGAGATGTTTGCACTTACTTCTGCAATAGGAAGTAAGTGCAACCACAAGGCAGCAACCATACAGCCAGCACCTGATTTTCGTATGAGAAATCCAAAGTAAAGACCGACTGCTATAGTAAATTAACCAGAATGGTTAGCGTGTGAACGAAAAAGCTCAAACTGACTCACCGGGCCACTTTTGTAGATCAGTCATGTTCCCTACTGCATCTCGGTTTGTAGCAATGAAAAGGCAACCTGGATTCTCACGTACGCAAAGGGTTCCATACCTGCCAACCGAAATCACCATCTTAAAAAATATTGGCCTTCAAGCAATGGAGTAAGCAACTTGAATAAGAAGGGAATTTATGGGTTTCTTACTGGAGTTTGTGGTAGTTAACATAGGGATCTAATCCTACAACAACTACTCCAACCTAAGTTAATACACAGGTTTCAGTGTCAAGCTACAGAAAACAAAAAGTAAAGGACAATAGCTGAAGGAAATGCAGAAGAGAAGTTACATTACACTTTTATCATGTTCAAAGGGAGTATTCGATTTCCATTCTGCTATTTTTTCAGCATCTTCCTGCAAATATAATTAAACAGATACTATTGAGAACACCAAGATGGAGCAATCCTAGTGTCTTGAGGACTGAGTGTGTGATTGATTTCACATAAAGTTTATTCCTTTGTTTCACTATTGAAAGTAGCGATTCAAGTTTCTGTAATTAGTAAGGTATAAGGAAATCAAAGGGGTTTCTTAGTTCCAAGCTGATAAATAAGCTGCTAAGCTGAATGTGCCAAGTTCAAGAGAGCCGAGTGGATATTCTACACAGTATACTCAATCCATAGCTCCTACCAAGTGTTTAAAATGTGTTGAAAGAGGGCGTTGTGCATATGATGTCCCTAATGAGCATTCTATTGTCATTAAAGAAGCTCAAGACAGAACAGCTCAAGCTGTTTCTGAGGAATCCGGGGCTGTGCAAGCTGATGATGGAAAGATGCTACTGATTGGACGAATGCCAAGTGCACTAGAGAAGGGATTTAAAGATGATAAACGGGATAGTCAGTTTCAAACTCAAGGTATGGCTCAAGGGAAGGTCTGCAAAATGATGATTACAGGGGATGCTCTACAATTACAGCTTCTCCACCATACTATCAGCATCATTATTTTCACGAATTAACAGTGTCCTTCATGACAGTTAAAAGCCTCTACTCGGCAGCAACTTCTCAGACATAATACTTCAATGAACAACCCATGATTTTCTTCGCAATAGGCAGAAAATCAGGAACTATTTGAGAAAGGATCACGAAAGGAAATTGACTTGTAAATCAAGTTTGTAGCTTCAGCTTATCTACTTATTACAGAATCCCAAACCAAGAATGTGGAAAATACCAAAAAGAATACTTCTGAGTCAGCTGAAGACAACTGCTAATCATAAAAAGCAAATTCGAAGTTTTCAATTGCTTCTCATCTTTCAATTAGAACTTTACAACCCAGATATTCCATACATTGATTATGACTCCTATGTTCAGAAAGCAATTAACTTTGCAAAATTTAGGCAACAAATCATGAAGAATCATAAACATCAATGACTTTCTAGCCAGCAAGTTCATCATTTGTGCTGCTCAAGACTACACAAAGGCTCTCAAATATAGACTTAAACAATGTCCAGGCTACAACTCGATGATCTCTATGGTTTCTCTGGACTCCTATATGCTTTCGACCGCCAATTTTCTAATTTCTTACTGGGAGCTTGAAGGATTTGCCAGCAGACGATGAGAGGTATCAAACTTTACTCTCCAAACAAAAGCTTCATAACGGGGAAATGTGGTGGTGCCCATTCGGATTGGACCATGACAATACAAAAGTCTGTTCGCATCAATCCATTCCTATTCTAGCCACCAGAATTGCTCCAACTAACTAAATCTAGCATTTTCATTAATTCAATCTCAAAGGGTAGCAAGTACCCAACGAATTCTAACCAGCAATCACCTTCACCATAGCTCAAATCCTTGCTATCAAAAGAAAATCAAGATCCCAAGGGGAACAGCATCTAGTCAGCTCATTTGACAAGAATGAGGCAATTGCAAACTTCACTCCCTAAACCCAGACTAACCTACATCCGTAGATCGACGGAAATCTCAACAGCCAAGAACGCGGCGGAAAAAGATTGAAACTTGATCAGAACATATCAACGAGTACAATCAGAAAAGTAGTAGGGGGAGGCACTCACACATTGAAGGTTCCCGAAACCGTTTCGTTGGCGGTCCGGACGGCGGATTCAAGATCGAACCCGAGACTCATTCCGCTGCCTTCATTTCATCGTTGGCGTTTCTGGACGAGGCGTAAGAGTTCCAGTCGGCCAAGAGAGACGACGATGTCTTCTGTGGCAGCTGTTGGTCTTCGATAACGGTACATGAGAAACACACTGCGCCATTTTCTCTGTGGCAGAGAACTGAAATCGGCCGACGTTTCGGTTTGGAGGTAGGCAGAAGCCTGGCGGAAACGGAATACTCCCACAAAGTGAAAGAACGGATACCAGAAACGGCAGAAACGCAATACGTTTCGGATCGTTTTGGGAAATGCCAAAATCGCTTATTTGGAATTTAATTGAAGGCCCAAATGAGCAGTAATACGGCGCCGTTTTCGGTGGACGCTGGCTTACCTCAGAGGAAAACATGGGCTTCAGTCAGACCAAGGCCCAAGAAGCTTCCTCTCTTTTCAATTGAAGGCCCAGAGAACTGAAATCGGCCGACGTTTCGGTTTGGAGGTAGGCAGACGCCCGGCGGAAACGGGAAACTCCCGCAAAGTGAAAGAACGGGTACCAGAAACGGTCGAAACTCGGAACGTTTCGGATCCACAAAACCAAGAACGAAACGCGAGAAATTGACGAGAAATTGAAATTGACGAGATATCGCGAGATAACAATATATCGCGGTATTTACCCGATTTATTGACTTTTTGCGATATATTGACCGGGTGCTGAATTGGCCCCTAGCGTAGCAAGAAAAAGAATGAGAAACGATCGCATAAAAGCGCGGGGAAACAACAGAAACCATATTCCGTTCATGAACTGCGCCAACATTACGGCATCCAATTGCGATTTCGATTTCGATTTGGGTTCGGCGGCCGAAATTCCGACATCCAATTGTGAACTTGGGAATCGAGGCTGCAGGATGCCATCGGGGTTCTGGTTCTTGTGGACGTAGAGGAGTAGCGTCGCTGCTGCTGTATTCCGTAGAGACCTGCCTCTCCACCATCGCTCGCCGCCTGAATTCAGGCTCAGCCTTTCATCGTACCGCCCGACCTGCTTTCGTACTGGAAGCATTGTTTGATCGGAAGTCGGAATTCGCTTTTTGTATAGACAAACAAGGAGGATCTTCGAACGGAAAATTATTGGTCGGGAGTTTCTTACTTTTGAGGGAGTGATTTCTTCTTCTAGAACGGGGAAGAGAAAAGAGCGACGCCTAGCCGCTGAAGAGTGAAGGAGGTGAGGAAAACGAACTTCTTTCCCGGTCAGTGAGGTTTGATTGGAGAATCGAATATAACGGTTGGTGGCTGCTCGACCTGGCGGGTCCCGCCACAATGGTTGTTGGTTCGTTTTGATTCCCTCCATTTTTCTTGCAAGGGATTTAATCATAAGACCAAACCAGATTAAACTGAAATTTGAAACAGACCGAACACGATTCGATCAGAACTTACAGTGATTCAGCTTTGATTCTGGATTGGTTTGAACCATCAAAACTAAGTGGACGAAGGATCAAGACTTGTACTAATCAGACTGTTAAGGGATTGGATTGTTCAATTTTGGATTCAATAGAACCATGGCCTTCTCCTAGTAGTGTTGGGCATATTCTACAGTCCATCAACATTGGCAAACCTTTGTCACATACAATTTTGTGGAGAAAAATAGAAATGCAGTTCTTTCTGAAGAACCCAACTAACCAAATCAAGAGACATGGTAAAACACTCACAGTTGACAAATCCTTGCAACTGGAAGATCATAGTGATATAGTATACATACTTCCAGACTTTGCTTTTCCCCTACATTGTTGGGGGAACGAAATTGATAAGGAGGCTCAAGAAGAATGACACTCGGTTTCATTCTAGTCGCCATCAGAGTCGTGTCTCCTTCTCTTCTTCTTCCTGTCCTTGTCCTTGTCTTCCCTGTGGTGTTTCCTCTTGTCATCTGAATCCCGGGAATGCCTCTTCTCGTGCCTTCTATGCTTCTCCTCCTCCTCTCTTCTCTTCTCCTTTTCTAGCTTCTTCTCCTCACGTCTCCTACTCTCCTTCTGTCCGTTTTCATCCTTTGTTTCGACTTCTTCAGGGGCCTCGGGTGATGGATTGGGCATATCGACCTTTGGGGGCTCGGATGCAGCGTCTGTCCCGAAGGATGGAAGGGTTGAGGGG